AAAGATTCCTATGTCTAAATATTGCCTATGAAATTTAGCACGGAATGCACGACACATTCCGGAAACTGTCAAAAGAGCAACTCAGACAAATGCTTGGATCCATACCGAATGAAGCGGACTACAAGGCTGCACCTGCAGAGGAAGTTGAACTTCTAGATGAAACCGATATACCAAAAGAATTTGATGCGCGGCAACAATGGCCATACTGCCGTTCCATTAGGCTGATCCGTGACCAGGCAAACTGTGGCTCCTGCTGGGTAAAATCATTTCTGTTACTGTACATATGATCAAATGTGGCTTTAGGCAGTTTCTGCGGCATCAGTTATGTCGGACAGGGTGTGCATAGCGACTTACGGCATAGTCCAGCCTTATATATCAGATGAAAACATCCTGTCGTGCTGCACGTCTGGTGGCCATGGGTAATTTTCGAATTGATTCTTCAGCTAATGGGAATTTTACTATAATAGCGCGTTTCCGCAATATCATAAATGTATGCGTAAATGTAATTGTAGATAACGATTAGCCGGGGACACAGTCTGAAATTATTTTTCGCCATAATCCTACGACAGTGGAATAATGCAGATTGTGGTACAAAAAATCAGGAAGGGGGTGCTGAGAAACCTACTATTGTCATGAGTGTATCGGAGATGATTATTGAAAGAGGGACCGTTTTTCATAAGCAGTGATAAGAAAGTGCAAGCTGCTGAACGGAGGCACCGTTGAAGCTTTCCAGTTATACAATTTGTTAGTCTGGAACACGCACATGAAATTATTGACGTGAATAGCATGTAAACCTGTCTCTGATATTTCTTATTGATATACAGCTGCGATAGCCGGTCGATTGTACAGTACCCAGAGCCCTTTCATGAGAAACCCTCCAGAAATTTACCTTTGCATATTCAACAGCGCGACGAAAGGACTCAAGTTCTTTTAATAGCCGACCTGGTGAAGAAACCACTATCCTTTTAAACATGAATCTCCCTGTCCTTGTGTTTGGCCTAGCCGACGTTATTATGTAATGTCGATTGTAATTCTAGCAAATATGCTAGAATCACCAACTTTCGGATTGAGACATAATGCTAAATATAGTGTCCACCTGAAGAATGACGTGGTTCTGTTTAGTGAAACGTGACTCTTCCTCAGTCATAAGAGACACACGAAAAGTGAGACTAATCCTGCTCGACCAATTTCGTGTGATAGTGTCCTTTGCTTGAGTTCTCCACCTCCAATCCCTCTCACGATAGACGAAACACGGTAGGTATTGAACATGAAGAGAGCATGAACATGATTGAGTGAGGCAGATATATGTTTCATTCATTTGCAACTCGGCTCTAGGTGAGTGAAAGAAAGTGGCAATCTTTGGCCCACGAACCATACAACATGGCTATGATGAGGAACAACATACTGTTCATTTCATTTACAACTCAACTCCTTGTTGCCTCTTTTCTTTGTTAACTGATACAGCACTCGGCTTGGCGAATTTCTTCCTCAGAGAAATTTTCAGTTAATGGGAAACGATTTAACCTGCACATGTGAGCTGAATTTGCAGGCATTTAAAGAGTAAAGAATTTTACATGCCTGCCATACACTCTCTTCTTTGACTCTGCTTTGGAATCTTACCTTATTCAACGGAATGAGCCGAAACTTATAGACGCGTTCCGTCCATTCCTTCCATCTGTGGACTCACAGAACAATCAAAACAGAGATTTTCTGATTTTATACACGGCTGTAAATGGTAACCATTTCTTGAAAATCTAGAAATGAGCGTTTTTTTCAACCTTGGAGCAGCTTGTGAAACCCACTGTCTACATCTTGCTCCTCATGTAACGAGGCGTCAAGAACAGCTATAGTTCCCTCATTGGCAAATTACGATGAGACATTCGCTTGGTATTGACTAAAGCTTGTAATGAATTTCTGCTGGCAGGTTTATTAATTCTAAGTATTTGTTTATGACCAATCCAATATGCAGAATAAAACACGCACTGGTTCAAGAGATAGATCACGGTGAAAATGCGCAAATTATTTTTGCGAATATTTCAAACTTAAAGTTAGTCACTGTGCGATTTATCGATAGATGCTACTTTGTTTTCTGCTGTGGAACATAAGTCATGAGGAAAGAGAACGTGCTACCCCGCTAATAAATCGTACTAGCAACTACGTTCTCCTAAGTATGAGCAATCCATAAAAAATATATCACTTATCTGCTGAGGGGACAATTACAAAATATCTTTCCAGTTTTGTGGGAAATTATGACAATTCAACTTCTGAAACTTCAGTTATATGGCACAAACGCACTCTATGCGTTCTTTCTGTAATGTAGGGGTTCAACGGCTACATGATGTTTGAATGCCTGCAGTGCATCGAGTGTACGCTGAAATCACTGAGTTAAACTCAACAAGGAATCGCAAAGCACGTACGAGGCAGTTATTGCTATTATTGCCCTACTCCACGATGATATTTTTTTTATAGACCTTGTTATGAAGGGCACCCGCTCCTAGAGGATCACTAGTGTTTGCTTCGAGGTTCTACTTTCGTTCCTCCGCCACTCAAATGGAAAAGCGGCACTCGAGGGTAACTGATTAGCTGGTGACTGTGAGTACGTTTCCTCTAACGTAGGAGAAGCCTCAGCGTCACTGTTGCGCACAAAATTAGTTATTATTAACCATCAGCAATTCGACT